AAGGTCTTTCACATAGAAATATGTTAGGCTGTGAAGGTCTCTGATTCACATTTCAATTTTTACAAAATTCATGAATGAGCTCCAATCACAAAATGATAATTATCATACTCTGATCTTTATGCACATTTTGTTAAACTGAAAGTATTTAAATCAAAATAAATAAATAAATGTCCAATTGTTGTGTTTGATGATCTCATTTCTATGGTGTCAAGATCCCAGTTTTTCTTTCTTTTTAGCATTTGATGATGGAATTGGATTAAAAATTGGTCATTTTAATAAAATGTATGGAAACTGAAAAAATGAATTATTCTATATGTACATTTTAAAAATATTTTTAGCTGAAAAACGTATCATACAWGAAAAATGTGCAATATGACATGTCAAATTTCAACTTTTGCTTTCATCTTATCCATTTGAGACAAAAACATTATTGAGGTGTAAATTATTGYAATGGTTGGTTTCTAGTATTTCGAACATTTTCACGATGTGGAATTGTACAAGATCTTAATATGGGACATTTCTGTGCTAAGTTTATGATGTTTTTGTTCAAATCATGTGTATATTTAGGCTAGTCCAAAAATTCAAATTTAAATTTAGGATTGTTATTTAATTTATTAATACTTAATTAATACTTTCGTAATACTTAATACTTAATTTATTAATAATTTTTCATATTTAATTAGCTCTGAATTATATTTAATCCTTAAACTTATTCGCATAATGAGATTGACTTCTATTAATGTAACAAAGTTGAATCCAAGAGCCACACCAAGGCAGTCTCATGATTGATCAACAAAAACAAACAAAATCTCAGCACGTTAGTTGACTCATTCTCACTTCTCATCTCTTCTCTACAAATATATTAGTAAATCATCACAACACCACCATATATCAAGCTACACAGACTGACAAGGTCTGATGAACTGAAAAAGAAGATGAAAGAGAAAATTCCAGATGGTCCCACTAAAACTTTGGGCTTATATGTTGTTTCAGTTGCTGTAGGAGCCAAATATGATTTGACTGCAAATGTCAACGTAAACGATGGTGTGACAAATGGTGCTGAGTGAAAGAAAAAATACATTATGGTGTAACATGTATGTTAATATGGTGTCTTTTCCACAAACTGACATTGGTCGTAACCACCACAGAGAATTAGCTCATTTATTTACCAACAATATTGATGAAACCTGGACACCAGTTTTAACACATCTATTAAACAAATAATAACAGTTGATATCATATAGTTATTAAAGGCCCCTGAAAGGGATTAGAGGATTTAACAGGGAAATAATTGTAGCTCTTGTTGCCAACATCAAAAGCCAGGGGAAGCGGACAAAGGATTGCATAAGTAAAGATTTCCCTCCAGAACATCCAAGAGCATCAACAACAGATGATGTGGAAGTTTTTATACCTCAAACGGTTGGAAGGGTTTTYGATTATAAAACCTTTCCCCGGAATTATGGAAAGATTACCAAGGAATTCACGAAGAGAGTAGACCCTGATCTACCAATTCATTATTGGATAGGAGCCTGCAGTCGATTTACCTGTGGCMAACTGAAATCCTTTTTAAAGGATTATTAAAATACTCCATCTGAGTCAGGGGGAGGAAATACTGGACAAAGTCAAAATATCATGAAGATGAGATCCTGGAGTTTTTATGTATGTTTTTGTGAGCAGAATTCCATTCAGCCGCTGAAAGTCTTCCTCCTCTCCCACTTCATCAAGAATAATGCATTTCAGGTATTTACACAATTATTTTTCTTTCTTTTTTGATAAAACATTTCATTAATTATAAAATGAAAATATATTGGTTCAATGAACAATACAAATGATATATATACAGCTGAAAGTCCTTGGTATTACAAGTTGTTCCTGGTGTTTTTAAAGGTTTAAGCGAGAAGGGATTTTCTTATGTCAAAAATCCAATCATTTTGGTAGTTTGTACTCTGAATGCCCTAATAGATTCTCATATGAAAGAGTTAAAAAAGTGTCAGCCTGTTGCCTGACGGATGAACAAGTCGAAGAAAATGTGAAAGCAGGAAAATTCTGTTGTCTTTGCCAACCCCGAGTCACTCGTTCACAACAAAAAATGGCACAGTATGCTTCAGTCTGATGTGTACCAGAAGAATCTGTTTGGTCTTGTCAACGATGAAGCCCATGTGATCCCTAAGTGTTAAGTAATCGAGACAACAATTCAGTTGTGTAAGGATAAAAATATTTACATCCAATCTCACTTCGTAGCACTCTATTCTAAATCCCCTAATGTCAATCATTGCAAGAAAAAAGGCTGAATTATTAGCAAGTGGCAAAAATACTTATGAAATAACTACCTGTCTACACGTTTTCCGGGGGAAAAACACTTGAAATAACGTATTAGCATACCAATATTTAGATGTGCATACACCTTTACTCTTTAGACCTAACACATTTCATTTTCTAATGGTTCCATGTAGTGGCAAAAAGAGTTCAAAGGAACAGAAAGCTGCCTTTCGATGTTTTTTTTCCGGCTTGGTATGATACATTTTCTACTTCCCTTGGGAGCACCCGTGTTGGCCCTGACTGCTACAGAAACAGAAGAAATCAGAAAGGAAACTAAAGGAGGACTTGCATTGAAACCAGATGTACACTAGATTGTCCTAAGTCCAGACCGGCCAAATATTTATCTATTTAAAGCTAAGGTTAATAAAAACCTGAGGTGCTTCGAATGGCTGATCTCTACTATAAAGAAGGACAAGCTGGACGTCCGAAAGACTATTGTGTATTGTAAGTCACAAAAACAGTGTGGGTAACTGTATAGACAATTCAAAATTGAACTTGAACCAAATGCAAGTGGAAGTGCAAACTGCACAGTCATCTTGGCATGGGGATCAACATTCAATATATCATTGGCGTGACAATTTCATCAAACCTGTCTTGGAACACTCACATTAATGAAATTTGTATCAAAGCCAGTAAACGCTTATACGCACTACGTATACTAAAACGCTCTGGTGCTCCACCAAAAGACCTTACAACTGTTTACTGTGCCTTCATACGACGAGTTTTCGAGTACTTCTGTCAAGTGTGGCAGTTTTCTCTGCCTCATTACCTCACTGATGAAATCGAATGCCTTCAGCGACATGCCCTACCCAATCTGAATTATGATGAAGCACTACAAGCTACCAAACTCCAAAGACTTAACCATCGAAGACAAGAGCACTGTCAAAAACCCAATAAGAACACACTAAAAATAACAACAAACTTTTACCAGCTCCCAAACAGCAAGGGTACACCCTTCGTAACCCAAGAAAGTTTGACACTCCAAAATGTAGAACAGAATGCTTTAAGAACAGTTTCTTACCTAATTGTATTAGAATGTGGGATAGCATGGACATTTAAAGATGTTTCGATTGTTATATTGTAAACACTAATGCATTTTAAGATCGGATCTATACTTTACTTTACGAAATATAATTTATTATTTAAATGTCGCAGACCTGAAAGGTTTGAAAATCAGAAAAGAAAATATCTATTCATTTTTTATGAAAAACCCTTGAAGCACACTTGAACCTGCAGCTTGGACCAATGTGCCACCCATGCATCCCTCTTTATCTTAGTATATGATTAAATTTATCATAAAGGAAAATTATTAATATAATTATACAGCTTCTCATTAATTCCATATAGGTAACCAATTATTTTCCTAATCGGGCAGGTCTTGTTGATATTGGAATAATTTGGAAGCTATATAATTAATAGGTCATGGGATTTCAGTCATAACACTACTGTTCTACAATGCACTTGGAGGAAACCACACTGTGGCTGCAGTCATGACATCTGAAGATTATAACAATCTGTAGGAATATCTGGCTAATGTCATCCATGATGTAAATAATATGAACAAAGCAGGAGAAGTGCACTTGTGTGGACGAAAAGCAACAGTGGAATTTTTCCTGGGAGGAGATTATAAGGTAAGAATTCTAGATTTCTAGATGCTTTGTCGAGGACCCGAACAAAGAAAAAAAAGCATTCTCAATAGAATAAAAAGACAGCTCAGTGGTTAGAGCATCAGTCCAGCATCCAGAAGGTCACAGGTTTGAATCCTGTCAGGTGGACTTGGTTTTTTCCGAGCTCCTGTGCTAGCTAGCGACAACTGAAAATTAATTAGACTATTAATGATTAAATTTTATTTCAACTTATTTCTTACTTCTTGCAATGGGATTACAAGCTGCTAATTCCAACCACAGTTGCATCTGGTTCAGAATTTCAAAGTCATTACATGTTAAAAACTCTATATTTTTTTACCATTTAACTATTATTTTTATGTACAATATTAAAACTATGGAATCAGAGGTTATACCACAGGGAGCCCGGCCTGGTGTAGCTAAATCTGTAAAATGATCACGTTTCATATGTTGATGACATTACATAACAACTGTAACTCAATCCACCCCTATACAAACGGTCACTACGTAATAGAACTTGCAATGCAATAGAGTTAGACGCCTCGTAAGAAGAGAGAAAGGAGAGAAGGGCTAAAACAAAATACAGTAGCCCTTTTAAAAACTCGATTTTCTAGTCTTGTTTTAGAGCTAGGGCTATTAAACCTGGATCAATCGAATGAGTATAGATTAAACCAAATGAGGGAGCGTTGATTTCATAACTTGTAAGCAGTTCTCATGATATTTTCGGCAATTTCGGCAAGCTCGGTTTAAAGTTATGTGCGCCAGCAGTTGATGGGACATAATTAACCTAGCGTGATCTGCCATTTTTCAATGAAAATAATAAAAGATCTTGACAGGTAGAAATGTCTTTTTGACAACTGAGAATAGTATGACTGCTTAAATAAACAAAATTAAGTATACAATTATACTAACCTCGATCATCTACGTTCATAAAATGACTCTTAATCTAAACCAAGCAAGAGCACTTCAACTTAGTCTTGATGGCCATTCGTTTTTTCTTACGGGCAAAGGAGGAAAAGGTAAAACCCATACTATAAAAAGTATTTACCATTAGCTATCGCGACTCAAACGTGATAGGGTAACATGCTTGACAGGGATAGCATGTGCTAGCTATCCATGTTCTGTCAGAGCGGCTACCCTGCACTCATTTGCTGGAATAAAGGATGGTAGGGGATCTAAAGAGACACTGCTAGATCTCGTCAAAAGTAATGACACTGCATGAAAAAGATGGATG